ATGTCCGCTGCCACTGCAACTGCTCCTAACCGAAACCGGTTGAGTACCTCTGATGCTCCCGAATTTTGTGTCGGCACTCTCTGTTGTAGAAGGTAATTCAAACCAAAAGAAAACACAGATACCTTTCAAGGACCCGGGACATTTGGGAAACAGCGTCGAACCCGTGAATCACTTCAAGACTTCAAGACTCAAGACCTGACCGAGACGGGCTATTCTCCTTAGAAAAAAGAAGACTCTGAGGTGACTTGATCGAGACATTCAAAATTACGAAAGGCCTACCAGGGACGGAGCAAGCGGTTTCTTCGAGAGAATGCAAAGCAATACTAGGGGGCAGGAAGAAATTGCGCACGAGACTAGCGGTGCGTTCGAACTTCTTCAGCAACAGGGTAGTCAATGTGAAATTGCGCACGAGACTAGCGGTGCGTTCGAACTTTTTCAGCAACAGGGTAGTCAACGCTTGAAATAAGCTGCCGCCGGAGCTGGTAGAGCTAGGGAGCGTATATACTTTCAAGAAGGAGCTCGATATGCGCTGGCTAACTTTATTTGCCGAAATGGACGCATAGGTTATGACCTGGAAACGGTGGGTTTTTCGTTTACCACCCCCATCCGGGGAACGCTTCCGAACGTGAGGTCTCTCGCCTGAACAAGGGGAGAAGATCTTTCTTTACCCCCTTTCCTTACAGAGACGGAGACAACTGAGACGTGAAGAAGACGTGTAGAACTGCAATACAGAACACTCGCAGTGGTAGGGGCCGGAACGGGGCTTACTACCGGAGGAAATCTGGACGCTCGATTGGCCGTGGCCATCTCTTGTTCTGTGCAAACTGAGTGACTGACTGACTGACTGACTGACTGACTGACCCCCTTTCCTTGCAGAGACGGAGACAACTGAGACGTGAAGAAGACGTGTAGAACTGCCATATAGAACACTCGCAGTGGTAGGGGCCGGAACGGGGCTTACTGCCGGAGGAAATCTGGACGCACGATTGGCCGTGGCCATCTCCTGTCCTGTGCAAACTGACTAACTGACTGACTGACTGCAGTAATAAGACCACATGCGACGTGAGTGGTTGCGGAGATAGACATCACAAGTTACTCCACATCGTCAAGAGAGTTCTAAGCACACAGCATGAACCAATCGGTGAGGGCCACTGCGGAGCAACTAGACTTCGGACCAATAATAGGAGCCTCAACATAGGAGCTGGATTAAAAGAGATTATCGGGTATGCCCTTCTAAATAATGGATCGGATACGACGCTTAATAAAACGAGTGCACTGCTTCAGTTGGTGTTAAACCAACAAAGAAACCATTCAAAAATAACTACAATGAGTGGATCAGTGTAGGCAAACCTTGTCAGCAGTGCTTTTCAGGTACTGCCTCTAGATGAAGCAGAATCAGTATGTGTGGAGCAAGCTGTTGTCATAAAAGAATTGCCCGTTCATACGTCGGTTAGAGACATCTTTGAAAGGATGAAAAAATGGCCCCATTTGGCAGACCTTCCAGTAGAATACTTTGATGGGGAAGTTCGACAATTTATTGCGTGTGATATACCGGAGGCGCATTGGGTACTAGATCAAAGGCTCGGTGGTCTAAAGAATCCTTATGCAGTTCGGACGCAATTAGGTTGGGTGGTTAGTCGCTACGGTTCCGCTACGCACTAACGATGAAGATGACTATAGAGAAGGGATATGCCTTGCCATTCCCAGGGGAACAGTTACAATGCGACTTTCATCCGCGTTGGTACCTGCCTCATCATGCAGTATTAAACCCAAAGAAGCCGGAAAAGCTGCGTATAGTTTTGGATTGTGCGGCAAAACACAAGGGGCAATCGTTGAATGACATGCTCTATCAAGGTCCAGACACCACTGCAAATTTAGTGGGTATACTTTTGCGATTCCGTAAGGAACTTGTAGCTGTTACAGCTGACATAGGAGATATGTTTATGCAAGTGAAGGTGCCAAAACATGATAGAGGAGCATGGAGATTTCTCTGGTGGCCACAGGGTGACCCACTCAAGGATCCCGAGGAATATCAAATGACAGCTCACCCGTTTGGTGCAACTTCTTCACCGTTTTGTGCTAATTTTGCCTTGAACAGGGCTGCAAGAGAATTCGGTAGTGGTTATGGGCGTGCGGTGCTAAAAGCCATAGAAGAAAACTTCTACGTTGATGACTGTCTTGCATCGTTTACGACATTCAATGAAGCCTTACGTTTTGGGAAGGAAATAACCGAACTATTGGGAAGAGGTGTTTTAAAACTGAGAAGGTGGTCATCTAACTCACCCGAACTTGCAGAATCCCTCTCCGAGGACAGCAAAAGTACCAACCTGGTTCAACTGCCTCAATGTGATTCCAGTTGTCAGAGAGTTTTGGGCTTGCAGTGGGANCAAGAAGAGGTATATTATCCAGGGTCAGTTCGGGGTTTGACGCGCTAGGTCTGGTAGCTCCTATATGCCTCCCAGCTAAGAAGTTGCTGCAACCCTTGTGTCAATCCAAAATGGGTTGAGACCAACCTCTCAATGCAGTAGGTGCCAGTATTTTGGAAAGTTGGGTACATTTGTTAGGTGTCTAGAAGTGATTAAGATCCCAAGAAGTATTAGAAACGGATATTGGGGAGAAGGAGGGAGAACAGAGTTGCATGTTTTCTGTGATGCATCCGAGACACGTTATGGGGCCGTCGCCTACGCGTGGTGCGTTCCAGCAAGAAAACCGGCT